TTAGATTTCATCATCTTCTTCCGGCGCACTAACCTTGAGAGAGAAGGGTTACATCGAGTGTTGTATGGAGACGGTGTTGGTACGGAGGACCGGGAGCGCGGGGTCTGGCCCGTGTTCATCGCCTACCTCCGATCGTCCCATCCCGCTACCGGCCTTTCCCATCGCAGATGACGACGGCATCTACTGCGATGCGGATGTGCGGCGCGCTTTGAGTCGAACGGACCAAGTCTGTTGGCGAGACCCGACCCAGGCGTTTAATATAAGGGGAGATGGGTTCGTCTTAATTGATCGTTTCGATTCCCCGACTTTAATATTGCCTTACACGGGTTTGACTGTGTTGCCCTGGTCGGCCGTTCACGCCACGTGGCGGCCGCAGTTTGATTGTCGCTGGTGTTGCCAGGGGGACTCGTGTTCTTGGCGACGACTGGTCCTGGGTTACGAGGGAGTGACACGTTTCCCGGATCTCTCCCGTAATGCGGGGGCACTGCCCGCGCAATTTCGAATTCGGATGTCGGCAAGTYCTCCCGCCGCTTCACCCTCTCGGAAACTTCCGCACGGACTTTGTGAGTGCGACGCCAAGGCTTGAAGGCCTCGAACCAACCACCTCTACAGCAAAAACCTGACGATCCTATCTTCGGTCCTTAGCCGTCGTGGCCTCCTCCCCCTGCTGCCTTTCTTCGTTTTGATTCACTGCGGCAGCTCGTCTTTGCGGAACTATTCGGTTTTCGTCACCCTGGACTGACCCGACCTCCACGGGACTCCGTGGCGAACGATCGATTCCGGGATAACCTCTGGTTCGAAACGATAGCCTCCCGTTTTGACCGGGAGACTCAACCCCTACGGCCAAAAATCCTCGGCCACGCCCCTCCTGTAACTCTGATCGGCGACCCGGTACGGGAAGTCGCGAGGGGGCGTGAGGTGCGTATCACAAGTAACGAACTGTACGTCAGACTTTGAACTGCAAGGCCGATCTGTCCAAATGAATGCCTACCTACCTATCTGTGCTGATGGCGTTTGAGGTAATAAGGGCAAACTCATACCTTTTTCAAGGTTTTTTGCACTTATTTCTGGACGTACTTGACGGTCCGATACATCCAAAGCTGACCCTAGTTGTCATCAGATACATCCAGGACTGACCTACCTTTCCCCCTGAACATAACACCACATCGTCATGAACATGTACAAATCCTGTTGTGGTTCAAATACAGTCGTAGTGCTGGGGCATTGTGTTTGGGGGAAAAAGGTGTGAGTATTCGCCGAGTCTACTGGGGCTTGAAGAACCTAACCTACTGGTGAAATGGGTTGTTTAAAGAACTGTGTACTAAGGAGTCGGGCCTAAGGGTTGAAGCTAACCTAAACAAGCCTAGAAGTCTATCCTTGCATTGAACCACCACCTTTCCCGTATGTCGGCCACAGGCCCCTCACCGCGACTTTTGGAGACCCGAAACGCAACACGGACTGCTGATGAAATTTATCAACAGCGGCCCGGCCCCGAAAGTTGCCCGTGTTAACCGCCGCATATTTGTTTTCCAAGTGGGGAAGGGTACTGGTGGTTTAAACCCCAGTGGTGCCAACATAGTTCTATAACTCTTTCCGTGCTAGAGGTTAGCACTTGGAAGGTACCAGCAGGACTGAGCTATTGAGGAGATGTAAGGGTGTGAAACACACCTGAACAGCAGGACTGAGCTACTGAGGAGATGTAAGGTTGTGTGTTGAATTCTTGAAGTGGACATACACATGCTTCTGTGCAGTAGCGGCTGTAGATATCATACTAAGCAGTTGTGTGGTTGTGATACGTGGGGTGAGTGTGGTTGGGTAAGCAGGGTCACGGAGCAATCTGTGCTGGGGTGGTGAAGTAGAAGTACCCCTGTTGGGGCCTTCACTTTCACCTCATCCCACTTAGCCTGACAAGCTGTAGGTTGTTTGATCATTCTTTGGATTGGACATACAAGCCATTCATTGTTTGATGGGCTCCACCTGTTTGATGGGCCCAACCCGTTTGATGTGCCGAAGGACCCTGAGACAGCGGCATTGATTGCTCCCTAGGGAGGAAGAATTTACCAGTGATCCACAGAAAAGGCAGTACTTTGTCAGCGCTGTTACAAATTTCCAGAATCTCAAGTGCTTCCATCCATCTTCTCACTTACACACTTGATTGAGATGAGATTACACTTGCTTGTAACTCCACATAAAATCGGAATGAAACCACCAGTACTTCCTAAAGTCGCGTCGGTTAACAAGCCGCGACAATGATGAACGAACGGGCCCATACAATGATTTCTGAATTAGGGTTTTGCCCCTTCTTGTCACTTTTGAGGAGCAGCTACTTCCCTGGGCCTACAATGTCTGCCTACCCAACGAAATGCCTAAAACGACCAGCCAAAGAGATCCTACCACTACACAGGGCAAACAGAGGCTGCTGTGGCATACTGCGCACCACACGTGCCTGCAGGGCCCGACCAGGCGGAATAAGGGCCCTCCAGGCCCTGTGTCGTTTCAGCCTAAAAGCTCAAAAAGGAGGGCCGATTTTAGGCCCTCGTAAAGTCGACCTTTCCCGAAACTTGGGCGCAAGACCAGGGATAAGCACAGGCCACTTTTAGGCCCGTTTCAAGACATCCTTTTTTTTGAACTTCAGCGCCAGGGTCTGGCACGATTCGACATTGGCAGAGCAGCCTCCCAGCCGGACCAGCACTATATAGTACTGGTCCGCCCAGGAGGGAGTAGGCAGTTCAGAAGGCAGAATTCCGACTTCGGCAGCAGCACTCTAGGGAGCGCTGCAGTAGTAGTAGAGTACGATAGGAGTAGCCTTCAGCGCTGGGTGCTGCTATGACCTTAGAGTAGCGTGGAGAGAGAGGAGAGTGGCGGAGGCCAGGGAGACTTAACCGGGAGCTTACCTGTGACGGCATCGCTCCAGCTTCGTCTGCGATGTACCTGCGACAAGGCGCCACCTTCACAGGTTAGTACCTGGCACTGAGAGAGAGAGAGGTCTTCTTCTTCTCCCTCTTCCTCCAGTCCACCATCTCTTCCTCACCCTCCAGCTACCTGACTTCTCTGTATCGACAGACTACGAGAGAGAGAGAGAGAGAGAGAGAGAGAGAGAGAGAGAGAGAGAGAGAGAGAGAGAGAGAGAGAGAGAGAG